GAAATTTTCCAGCCCCCTATGACAAAAAAGGGGAACAAAACAGCAGGTGGAGGAGGGCCTGGAAGTGGCAGGGGCTGGGGGACATGGGCCCTTTGGCAGCAGAGAGGAGGCGGAAAGGGCCCCCAAAGAGATTGGGGGCCTGGCAGCAGCATGGGAGGCCCCTAATCTCCCAGACCCTATGACAAAAAAGGGAACCCACCAGCCAGTGTGAGGGGGGGGGGGGGGGAGGGCCCCCCCCCCCCCCCCCCCCCCCCCCCCCCCCCCCCCCCCCCCCCCCCCCCCCCCCCCCCCCTAGACCTGAAAGTGGCACATGGCAGAGTGTGGCGAGATGGAGACATCGAGCAATGGGCGGCCCGTACAAGGGAGCTAATGAGAAGAACTATGGACTTAGGCCAGCAGCATGACAGGAGGCGGTAATACGGGGGCCCACAACGAATCGTAGGCCTGGCAGCAGCTATGAGGAGGCCTGCGTAATCTGCCAGCAACAGCTATGAGGTATGGGAAAATCCCACAGCAGTGTGAGGACTCCGGAAAGTGGCACATGGAGAGTGTGTTGGGGACGATGGAGACAGCAGCAATGTAGAGGCCGATACAGAGACCTTGAGGACTGTGGACAGCGGCAGCATGGGAGGCGGGTAATGGGGCACCTCTGGCCAGATTAGGGGCCTGGAAGCAGCAAATGGGAGGGGCCGTAATCTGCCAAGCACCGCTATGACCAAACAGTGTTAGACACCAGCAGTGTGAGGAGGACCAATAGGAAAATGGCACATTTAGCTAATGAGACAGCATTAGCGGACCCTGGCAAGCAAAAGCACGATGAGGAAGGCCGTCACAGGGGCCTCACAGTAGGCCAGATTAAAGGCGGCCTGGCAAGCAAGCTAATGGATGGCGCGGCCCGTACATTCTAGCCAGCACCCCTATGACAAAAAAAATGGAACACACCAGCAGTGTGATGAGGAGAGTCCTGAAAGTGGCACATGGCAGACAGTGTGGCAGAATGGAGGACAGCAGCAATGGGAGGCCGTACAGGGACCCATGAGAGAGCTATGGACCTGGCAGCAGCAATGAGGACGGCTCCGTATAGGGGTCCAGGCACCCATGGCAGTTAGATGGGCGGCCTGGCAGCCAGCAATGGGAGGCCCCAGTAATCATGCCAGCACCCCCTATGACAAAAATGGAAACCCACCAGCAGTGTGAGGAGACCTAAAGTGGCAAATGGCAGAGACACTGTGGACTTGCAGCTGCATGAGGAGGCCGGTTACAAGGGCCCTATGGCAGATTAGGGGCCTGGCATGCAGCACATGGGAGGCCGTAATCTGCCTAGCACCCTATGACAAAAAATGGGAACACACCAGCAGTGTGAGGAGACCTTCGAAAGTGGCACATGGCATTGAGACACTGTGGAGATGGCAGCAGGGCGTTATGGAGGCCGTACAGGGGGCCATGGCAGATTACTGCGAGGCCTGGCAGCCAACTTGGACAGGAGGTCGTTCAGGGGCTTCCATGCACGTCGGGTGCGTGCTCGCAAACTGTTTGTCTCTTGGAAAACGGATTCCAAAAAGACTGCTGACGGACCATCAGTGTGAGAGGAAGAGTAGCAGGCAGAGGATGGAGCATCTGAACGAGCGGAGGCATGCCAACAAGCGACAACAGGGGCCCATGACAAATTAGACGGGCCTGGCAGCAGCATGAGGAGGCGGTACGGGGCCCATGGCAGATTAGGGGCCTGGCAGCAGCAATGGGAGGCCCGTAATCTGCCAGCACCCTATGACAAAAAATGGAACACACCAGCAGTGTGTGAGGAGACCTGAAAGTGGCACATGGCAGAGTGTGGCGATGGAGACAGCAGCAATGGGAGGCCGTACAGGGACCCATGAGAGACTCTGGACCTGGCAGCAGCATGAGGAGGCGGTACAGGGGCCCATGGCAGATTAGGGGCCTGGCAGCAGCTATGGGAGGCCCGTAATCTGCCAGCACCCTATGACAAAAAATGTAACACACCAGCAGTGTGAGGAGACCTGAAAGTGGCACATGGCAGAGTGTGGCGATGGAGACAGCAGCAATGGGAGGCGGTCAGGGACCCATGAGACACTGTGGACCTGGCAGCAGCATGAGGAGGCGGTGGGTACAGGGGCCCATGGCAGATTAAGGCCTGGCAGCAGCAATGAGAGGCCTGTAATCTGCCAGCACCCTATGACAAAATGGAACCCTGGGCCTAAGGGCAGGCAGAACCGCCGTATCTTTATCCACGGTTTTCCCAGGCCACCGAATGGCGACGCTGCATATGCTGACGCAACGCTGTAGTCCCCAACATGGGCCCCCTGGCCACGCTTGACTTTCTGGCCACATAGTCGACATACGGCTACGTTTACTTCCTCGGGCGGCTTGACGAAAAATTGCCACACACCGCCGTGTAGGAAACTTTGCCCCCGCTGCTCCTCACTGGCTGACTGCTACTTCCTCCGTGCACAAAAATGGCACCACTACTGGCCCAGTGGTGGTAGGCTGCAGTGGAGCTGGTGCTCTACTCCGTGGCCGTTTGCCTCCACTGACACTGCTGCGACCCTGCTGCCTCCTGGCAGCAGCAATGGGAGGCCGTACAGGGACCCATGACACACTCTGGACCTGGCAGCAGCATGAAGAGGCGGTACAGGGGCCCATGGCAGATTAGGGGCCTGGCAGCAGCAATGGGAGGCCCGTAATCTGCCAGCACCCTATGACAAAAAATGTAACACACAGCAGTGTGAGGAGACCTGAAAGTGGCACATGGCAGAGTGTGGCGATGGAGACAGCAGCAATGGGAGGCCCGTACAGGGACCCATGAGAGACTCTGGACCTGGCAGCAGCATGAGGAGGCGGTACAGGGGCCCATGGCAGATTAGGGGCCTGGCAGCAGCAATGGGAGGCCCGTAATCTGCCAGCACCCTATGACAAAAAATGGAAGGACACCAGCAGTGTGAGGAGACCTGAAAGTGGCACATGGACCATGAGACACTGTGGACCTGGCAGCAGCATGAGGAGGCGGTACAGGGGCCCATGGCAGATTAGGGGCCTGGCAGCAGCTATGGGAGGCCCGTAATCTGCCAGCACCCTATGACAAAAAAAAGGAACACACCAGCAGTGTGTGAGGAGACCTGAAAGTGGCACATGGCAGAGTGTGGCGATGGAGACAGCAGCAATGGGAGGCCGTACAGGGACCCATGAGAGACTCTGGACCTGGCAGCAGCATGAGGAGGCGGTACAGGGGCCCATGGCAGATTACGGGCCTGGCAGCAGCAATGGGAGGCCCGTAATCTGCCAGCACCCTATGACAAAAAATGGAACACACCAGCAAGTGTGAGGAGACCTGAAAGTGGCACATGGCATGAGACACTGTGGACCTGGCAGCAGCATGAGGAGGCGGTACAGGGGGCCCATGGCAGATTAGGGGCCTGGCAGCAGCTATGGGAGGCCCGTAATCTGCCAGCACCCTATGACAAAAAATGGAACACACCAGCAGTGTGAGGAGACCTGAAAGTGGCACATGGCATGAGACACTGTGGACCTGGCAGCAGCATGAGGAGGCGGTACAGGGGCCCATGGCAGATTTAGAGGGCCTGGGCAGCAGCTAGGAGGCCTGTAATCTGCCAGCACACCCTATGACAAAAAATGGAACACACCTGCAGTGTGTGAGGAGACCTGAAAGTGGCATGGGCATGGCGAAGGAGACACAGCAATGGGAGGCCTACAGGCCCATGGACAGAGACTGGACCTGGCAGCAGCATGGGTATAGGAGGGGGCCCATGGCAGATTAGGGGCCTGGCAGCAGCTATGGAGGCCCGTAATCTGCCAGCACCCTATGACAAAAAATGGAACACACCAGCAGTGTGAGGAGACCTGAAAGTGGCACATGTTTGGGGCATGATTCATGGCGGATTTAGTCAGTTGTGTCAGGAACTGGTGGTTTGAAATCCAGATCCACTAATCCACTGCACGCCTGATTCATTTTCACAAACGTGAGTCTCTCCACACTTTGGGTGGACAGTCGTGTCCTCCGCGAGTTACAATACCTCCTGCCGCACTAAACACGCGCTCCGATGCACGCTACTGGCCGGCATGACAGCCTTTCAAGGGCAAATTCAGCTAGTTGGGGCCAAAGGTCAAGTTTCGTTGCCCAGTAGTCAAGGGGATGTCTACCTCGGTTGGCAGGGTGCTGTCCAAGTAGGCCCAAGCCTGTTGTTTGAGGTCCTGCTCCAGGTCCTCCTGATGTTGCTGCTGCTGCTGCGGCTGGTTTTAGTAGTTTCCTCACTGCGCGGGTGAAGAAAGCTAATCATCTATCGACTGCAGACTGAGGCAGCCGCTGCTGGTGGCAGCTGCCACTGCTACTCTACCACCCCACCGCCCCTCCCCTACTGCCAATGGCGAGCGTAACTCGGATCGCAGTCACAGGGCCCACAGTGTTGAGGAATGGACGTTGGCGCACAAAGGGCAGAGACCTACTGACTACATAGGTGGTTTATTACTACGTATATTTTGGCCGTCCCTCTTCAGCAGGTGTGGAAAAAAGGCCACCAATTTTGAACGGTAAAAGCGAGAGGTCCAACAAGGTTGGGACAAGCCAAAAGTCATCCCTCTGTCTGATGGTATTCATTAATTCGGCTGTCGCTACGCAAGCAAGCGAGCATAGCTATGGGTCCATTTGTTGCAAAGGAATGCCGAGGGGACTCCCTGCCTCCATCTCCTCAGCATAATGCCACGGTGCGTCTTGGGGTCTCTCTGTCTCCTCCGCCTCTACCAGATGCTCATGCTCCTCCACTCCTGTCCGATGTGCTGTGGAAAAAAACCACCCATTTTCACTCAATAATTCCTGAGCACAAATGTTACCTACTCTACCTACTCCTCTTCTTTCCTGTCCTGCCCCCACAGGGGTCATGTGGCGTTGAGATCTGTGCGCCCACATCTTAACCGCAACCTCTGACCAGCCATTTGGTTTAACAGCAAATTTGTTCCAGGAACGGTGCAACAGAGGAAATGACGTCGTTCATCGCCCCATAGTCCTCCGACTCCAACCGAAATAGCGAGGCCTCCTCAAAGGGCCTGAGCAAGCGCAGGTGTCCATGCATGAGCTGGCCAATATGGCTGACATCGAAGTACACAGGGAGTAACCTTTTAATTCCTCTGTAACATCCCGGAAATCGTGAAAAAAAATTTTCGTTCTAAAGCGGTCTAACATGTGAGGGGTTTAAAATTCCCCCTTTTTTCAACGTCGC